TATGGGTGCAGTTCGTGGCGCCCTAAAATAATTACAATGGTAATATCAAATATCACTGATCACCTTAATAGTAATGATATGATATAATAATAAAAGATAATAATGAAAAAGTTTGAAATATTGCAAGAATTACCAAAATGTGACACAGAGATACAAAGTGAGCAAATACTGTTGGAAAAATGGTGCCAGTAGACTTGCTTGACGCAGGGTAGCCACAAACCTTCAATTTGTTAAAAAAAAAAAAAAGGGGGGTCTTCTCTGGTGGCGCAGTAGTTAAGAATCCGCCTGCCAATGCAGGGTACATGGGTTCGAGCCCTGGCCCGGGAAGATCCCACATGCCATGGAGTAACTAAGCCCGTGTGCCACAACTGCTGAGCCTGCGCTCTAGAGCCTGCGGACCACAACTACTGAAGCCCGTGCGCCTAGAGCCCGTGCTCCACAAGAGAGGCCGCTGCAGTGAGAGGCCCACGCACCGCAGCAAAGTGCGGCCCCCGCCTGCCCCAACTAGAGAAAGCCCGCGCGCAGAAACGAAGACCCAACGCGGCCAAAAATAAATAAATAAATTTATTTTAAGAAATGCAAAGCACAATAAAGTAAAGCACAATAAAAGGGGGTATGCCTATACAACGAGAAAAGAACAGTCTCTTCTATAAATGGTGTTGGGAAAACTGAACAGATACAAAAAAGAATGAAACTGGACCATTATCTTACACCATACACAAAATGGATTAAAGATTTGAACATAAGACCTGAAACTGTAAAACTCCTAGGTGAAAACAGGTGATAAGCAACTTGACATAAGTCTTGGTGATGATTTTTTGGATTTGACACCAAAAGCAAAGGCACCAAAAGCAAGAACGAACAAGTGAGACTATATTAAACTAAAAAGCTTCTGCACAAACGGGAGCAAATTTGCAAATCATATGTCTGATAAGGGGTTAATGTCCAAAATATAAAAAGAACTCACTTCAACTCAACAGCAGAAAACCAATCTGATTAAAAAATGGGCAGAGGATCTGAATACGCATTTTTCCAAAGACATACAGATGGTCAACAGGTACATGAAAAGGTGCTCAGCATTACTAATCAGCTGGAAAATGCAAATCAAAACCGCAATGACATATCACCTCATACCTGTCAGAATGGCTATTACTGAAAACACAAGAGAGAACAAGTGTTGGTGAAGATGTGGAGAAAAGGGAACCCTTGTGCACTGTTGGTCAGAATGCAAATTGGTGCAGCCACTATGGAGAACGGTATGGAGGTTCCTCAAAAAATTAAGAAGTACTATATGATCCAGAAACTCTACTTCTGGGTGCTTAATCAAAGGAAAACAGTAACTCAAAAAGATATATGTACGCCCATGTTCAACACAGTATTATTTACAACAGCCAAGATATGGAAACAACCTAATTGTCGCTTGATGAATGAATGGATAAAGAAATTGTGGTATATACACAATGGAATATTATTCGGCCATAAGAATGAAACCTTGCCATTTGCAACAACACGTATGGACTTCAAGGGCCTTACGCTAAGTCAGTCAATCAGAGAAAGACAAATACCAAATGATCTCACTTATCTGTGGAATCTAAGACAAACACACAAAAGAAAACAAAAAAGTCAAACCAAGCTCATAAATACAGAGAAGAGATTGGTGGCTGGTTGTTGGGAGTGTGTAAAAAATAGGTGAAGGGGGTCAAGAGGTATAAACTTTCAGTTATAAAATAAATAAGTCATGGAAATAATGTACAGCATGGTGACTATAATTAATAATACTGTATTGCATATTTGAAAGTTGCTAAAAGAGTAGATCTTAAAAGTTCTCATCACAGGGAAAAAAGAATTTGTAACTATGTGCGGTGATCATTTTGCAATATATATCCCTCATCTTTCCTCCACTACTCTTGTTTTCATTCTTGAATATCTCAATGCTAGATACTACAACTATATATTCCAGTAATTCTTTTAATAAGTACAGTCATATGATGTGTGTGGGGATGTGTTTATGTACATATGTGTATGTATATCCTTAAGAAAAAAAAAAGAAAAATCAACAGCAGATATGGAATGTCACCAAACAAAAACCGACTTAGTCCAGAGAAAGCTGAAACTGACAGGGGCTCCTTAGGGTGGTCTGATAACAGGAAACAAGCAGACTTGCTAGAGACCCCCAGAAAGGCTCAGGTTATCTAAAGCATCAGATATTCAATATGTCTGAAACAAGGGTCCAGGGCAATGCTGAAGCTGTATCAGTAGCACTTGAACCCACAGATCTCTCCACAAATAGCAAAGAACCTTTATGTTTTGGAGGAAACCTTTATGTTTTAGGACTCTATGAGATCTAAACAGCTAAGGATAGGAGGCCCTGTACTGAAAACAGTTTGTCTAAGTCTTCTCAATGACCTCCAGCCACTTTCCACATTTGCCTTCCACGGTTCTAGGGCTCAGGTTTACATCCCCAGGAATTCCCTCAAAGAAAACAGATCTGCCAAAGAGAAAGTACCCACAGGATTCTAATATTTGGGAGTTCCTTCACTGAAAAAGTGGCCCCGTTGTCCTACATGGAAATCCACTAGCCAACAGAGCCAGACCACACACAGTTAGCTCCCAGTCAGTTTTTAAAGTGTCGCACCTTCAAATGTGAACAGAGTCAAGGATCACAAGGCATCTGAAGAAAGATTTGAGAATGAGCCAGAACCTAAAATAATTAGGTAGCAAAATGAGACCCCATGAAATAAGGAAGAAAACTTCAACAAAACTATAATGTCCTCAACAATGCACAGTGAAAGATAGTCCATCATGATAAATTAAAAGACTAAACCAAAAAAAAAAAGTACTTATTAATCACAGGAAAAACAAAAATCATGCAAGAAAGGAAATACGGCCCTAACACACCATATGGCAATTCATGAAAAATATCTATAGGGTTAGATAATACGTACTAAACCCTAATTTAAACACAAATTGTAATTGGTTGTACTGGTAGGAAGGCAGGAAGAGGAAAGTGTCAGGACAGCTATGGCTAGGAGATGTGAGAGCAAAATCCTCATTTTTCACAGAAATAACAACAATGATAGCATAAAACATACCATGTTCCAGGCACAGTTTTAAGTACTTCATATCTATTAATTTATTCAACCTCATAAAACCCCTGCTACATTATCACCCCGTTTTATACATGAGGAAACTGGAACAGAAAATTCAAGTAATTTGCCAAAAGTCACAATTAACTAATAATAAAGCCTAGAATCAAACGCCGACAATACAGCTCCACAGGCCATGTTCCCATATACCCTAACACAGTTCTCAAGAAGTTTTTACACCCTAAAGAATTATTGAGCACACCAAAGACTCTTAGTTCACGTTCGTTATATCTATCAAGAATATTTCAACAGCTTTTCCAGAATTGTGGATATCCTTTAATGCAACACAAAATTCAATGAAGATTTCTTAAACAGTTGCAATGTCAAATATGAAATCTTATCAATGAACTTTTCATATTGTTATGTTAAAATCCATGGGCCTATCCTGCAACTTGAGGGTATAATTTGCATGTACTGGTCGCGTAGAAAATACTGGTTCACTCAGTTATGTGTATCTTCCAAATGTTAACATATTTTACTGTGCAATATCCAAACGTCACATTAATATCCCCACTGATCCATCAGAAAAGTGCAGCCATTGGGAAGCTGTCAAGTAAGATCACAGTCATGAATACAAGTTTTCCAAAATTCTGATGTTCTCTCAAAAACTCGAATTTTTTTCATTGGTAAGAAATATCTGGCTTTCCTTGAAGTGGCAGGTTCACTGTTCATTTCTGAGAAAATGCCAGCCACGTTCCCAAGTCTGACTAACCATGTCTGTCAGTCATTCTTTCAAATAAACACGATGTTCCATGAAAAAGTGGCTAGTTCAACTCACAGCTCAAACAATCATATCCATAACTTTCCTGGAAACATCCACCACACTTCGGTATATACTTTGGAAATGCCTGGTGTCTACTTCCCGTCACACATAATATTCCAGGGTTGAAAATTAATAAAATGTATAATTTTTATTGCTTCATCAAGGATGTTAAGTGAAACTGGCCTTATTATTGTTTTCTGTAAACGATGAACAGGGTTGAAGGTAAAATGATTGCTTGATGCCATCAGTTTTAACCACCGCTGCTCTTACACCATGAGTGCAAACATCAACACAGTGAAAAAGGGCAAATAACACCTTAGTGCTGTTTCAACAAATAGTCTGACCTCATGGACCTCTTGGATGGGACTCAGGTATTCCCAGGAATCTGCAGATAATTTCTGAGAAGCCCTGCACTGCACTAAACAACCTCATGTATACACAGGGTCTAAAACGAAAAATAAAGAAGTGGCAATAAAAGTACTTTTTAAAATAGGAAGGCCCATACCAAAAGAGCCAAACGAGCCAAAGAAGGGCAAGCCCGGGACTGTCTTTCGTAGCAAGTCTTGTACTATTTGACTTTTTTAGAAGCATGTATTATTCTGATAAAAATCTGCAAAAATATCTAAATACTTCCCCATCAACAAACACTTCGCTCCTTTCCACAAGGTTATCCCAAATACATTTTGGTGGGGGTGCGGGGAACTCTTGCCCCTACATGTCAACACACAGTAGTCACAAAAGTATTAGACACTTACAGACAAAATATTAAAAGAAAAAGGTCGGAAAACACTGCCTCACCTCATTAGAGAAAAACAGACATGAACTAGACAAAAGTGTGCAAAATAAAACAGAAAGCGCCTCCAGAACACCACTTCTATCCAGGATCTCATAGCCTTTAACAGAACCATGCTCAACATCAACATTTAAACTAAGCGCACAATCTCTGTTAAGACACAGAGAAAATATTCTCTCTCCAGATCCAAAATGGATGAGGTGCACTGGAGAGTACCAACTCTGTACAAAAGCTTTCTAACAGAGCAAAACATACTACTAGAAGAATTCATGATGGAACTTAAAAAACAAAACCATACCTGACAAGGGGAATTCTTGGTCAAAGAAGCATTCTTTAAATTCCGCTGCTGGGCAATGAAACGAATTAGATGGTTTGTTTCCGGAGAGCCCCGAACACCAACTGTAGAGCGTCGTCTGGATTTTTTAAGGTAGGATGATGACTTTCCTATAATAAAAACTCTTTTGTAAGTTGGAACACAACAAGGCAATCAGTAATCATGCCCTGAATACCCATGATCCACCAGCCTGAGAATATGATGAACGCATCGTACAGGGATCTAAGTGGAAAAGTACAGGCAAAATTGTGCACACATTATCAGATGGGTAGCTACCTTTGTTTTGTCTATTGATTTATTCCATGCCCCTGGAGAGGTGCTTGGCACATAGCAGGTGTTTATCAAAAAGTTGTGGAACAAATGCATGAATACATTTGAATTAACAGGTCTCATTTTTGTTTCTTACTTCCTGCACAGAGTTGGTAATGGATTGCTTCGGACTCAAAATTTCTTTTTCTGATCCCCAAGGACGATCTCCCCCCAGGCACACACTCTCACATCCTCAATTGTTCAAAATAATTTGTTTCTCTTAGATACCTGTCTACCTTCAGCACACTACCCTGAATTCCAACCAGTCTAGCTTTTTGAAGGTCTAAGAATGATGTTCTTGAGAAGGGAACACAGGTTGTCATCCACTTCGGTCTTGTCTCCATCAGGTATTACTAGTCTAGTGCCCCCTGATTTTCAAGTCCCCCATTACCCTCCATTTCTAAATTCTATTCTCTAATTCCATTCCCATTATTTGTTTCTTCAGCTAAATCACACTTCACAGGTGAATTTCATTTCTATTCCATAAGGGAGATTAGCCTGAGTCAATTTTCTGTTTGAGATTTTGAAAGAGGTATGCCCCAGTCTTTCAATGTCATATTTTCTTAATTGCCCTTCAACTTTCTCTCATTTTTACCATACATGACCATAAAATGTATTACTATTTTCACATACACACTCCTGTATCCCATGTGTCGGGTCAAAGAGTGACTCGCACACATGTCCTTTTCCAGTTTGGGCCTGGAGCGTAGCTGTGACTTAGGAACAGTATCATGCTGGGTGCCCTGGGACCCTGATCTCCCTGATCCAGCAAGTCTGAGAGTCAATCAATTTAGATAAAGTAATAAGATACACAGGGTAAGTGAACAAAATAGAGTTTAATTTTTCAACTTTTAAAGGCACTGCAATAGAAGAAGAACATCTCTTACCTGAAGAGTTCTTTACAAAACTTTCAGGTGTAATTCCCAATTGCTCCACAGTTACTGTGGAAAAGTTCAAAGGTGACTGAAAAGCATCTGACATGCAACGATTAGGAGTCACTTCAGCTGCAGGCTTGTGAGGAGTTACAAGCTTCCCATTTCCCAAATTGAAAGAGGTATCTTCTGAAACAGACAACATGTAGGGTCTAAACATCATTATCAAGATAAACACCTAAACCTTAAATTTCACAAAGAAACAACAGGTCACTACATACCAGCGTTATTAATAGCAGACTCCTTGGTTTCAAGGGGCTTGCTGTCTTTTGAACTATCATCCATCTAAAAAAGAGAGAGAAGAAAGAAAAAAGAAAAATAACCCCACCTCCAAAATTAATGTGATTTGATCGAGATCCTCTTTCAAGACTGAATTCTAATACAACCTATACTGGCACGAAAACGGATGACAAGAGACTACTTTTGGAGCTCAAATTAAAGAGAAATGGAGGAAACTGCTGCTCGGGATGAAACAAAGCAGATCCCATACAATAAAGCCAAGGCTTTCCAACCTTAGCGAACATCAGAATCATCCAGGCACCCTGTTGGAGAAGCGGTTTTGCGGATTCCCAAAAATTCTAATTCAGGAGGTCTGGCTGGGCCCCAGAAATCTGCATTTTAAAAAGCAGGCGGGTGATCCAGTAGAACACACTTCTGAGAAACACGTCGAAGAAACAGCTCTGCGCCACTACTGTCTCGGAACTCCCAACCAGGCCGCTTGCCTTACCTCCCTCGGGTTTATTTTGAACACTCCGCCGATGAGTGTCGTGGCTGTCCTGCCTTCTAGACTTCGGCTCTCTGGTCCTGATGGGCTCGCTCGAGAAAGTAACTGTCGGCCGCCAAGCCAGCCGCGGGGGGCTACCTGGTCCCCGGCCGCCGACCCCCAGACCCCACAGCCGGCGTTACCTATACCCTCCCCTCCGCCCGGCCGCGGCCCGCCGCCCGATTCAAATCGCCGGCCCCGCCTCCTCGGCGTCCCGGCGTTACTCTGAGAATCTCTACGCCCACGCCACTCGCACGTGTGCGCGCGCGCACCGAACTCTCCCAGACCTCTACCTCGCCTTCCCAGGAACAGGAGTGGCTTCGTGGGCTCCGAGAAACACCACCGCTAGCCGCAGTTGACACACTGTCCAGAGAGCTCCACTACTGACCTGCGTCCCCGGGAACTATTTTCCGTGAGAGCCTCGCGGAGGAATTATCTAGTTAACCGTTTGGTTCCGTCCCCGGCCTTTCGATTGGATGCTGCGAACTTCAAAAAGAATCATTGAACCAATCCTGACAGAACGACGGGCTGGCTCTTACCCAATCAGCCAGTCCCGACCGCAGCCGTTTCCTCGGTGGGTTGAGCGAGTGGGAGGGGTTAAAGTTGGGAGGCTCTGACTGGTTGTGGATCTCTTCCAGCGCTCTGCCTCTTCCCTCAAGCCCCGCCTCCGTATGCAGATGAGCTCTACCTGGTGTTGGCTATGCGCCTGCTCAGTAACGCTTTGAGCCGCCGTTCGGCTCCAGGTTCAGCTCTGATTGGCTGATAACCCTTCCCCGTCGGCTACACTGCAGCCTCTCTTCCCTCCTTCCACCTGGGCTGGGTTAGCTAGAGCCCACCCAGTGCAGGGCGATGATTGGCTGAATTTTGGCCGGCGCTGCCCGCTGATTGGCGGAGCTTAGAGTCAGTCTGGGAGAGGTGGGGGAAGGGCCCCAGGCTGACTGAGGAGCCCAGGGGCGGGGTGGGAAGGAGGACCCGCCAACCTTGGGGTGTGGGTAGGAGAGTGCGTGCCTGTGTGTGTGTGTCTGTAAGGGAAGGAAGGTGGCGAAGGGAGGAGAGTCCGAGTGGGTGGAGGGAGGGGAAGGGCGGGAAAAGAAAAAGGTGGGAGGAGAGCCAGGTGGGAGGGTGGCGACTCACTCAGGACCCAGTGGGGGCAGCGCGATGAGGCGGGTGACCCTGTTCCTTAACGGCAGCCCCAAGAATGGAAAGGTAAGGGGGTCGGGAGGAGGCGAGGCGGGCTCGGCTGCTGGGGGCGAGGGCAGCGGAGTGCGGAGCGGGCGCACAGGGCTGAGGGCTGAAGTTGGGGAGAGGGGCTGGGAGCGGGGAGGTGGGCGTGCGCCGGGGTGGGGGGCGTCCAGGAGGAGGCGAACGTCGGGTCCCCGCGGCCTCCTCCCCACCCCCGGAATCCCTAGCCCGAGCCTGCCCTTGGACTCCCCAGCTGCTCTGGGGACCAGCGCGCAGGTCAACTTGTGCTCAGTCGTTCCCAAGTCCAGGTGTGGGTCCTGGAGAACAGAGGTCTCGGAGGGCGTGGGGGGGCCGCTGTCACCTGATGCTTCTATTCCTCTTCCCACTTCCCCCAAGACCCCGCTGCCCCCCACCCCTGGCTACAGAAGGCGCCGGTTCCCACCTTCGTGCTGAGTAATGGTCTGCTCCGGAAAGTGGCCGTAACGACTAAGGCGTGTAAGGTTGATCAGGTGAAAAGAATTTCAACTCTTTCTCTCCGTGGATGAGTAAAACACTCTCCCATCCTAGGGCCAATAGACGGATGGAAAATTGGTGACATTTTCTTGATGGTCCCCCTCCCTCCCCCACTTTAGGAGCCCCAAGCCCCGCCGCCGTCAAACTTTTGTAATCGCTTTAGTCTTTCGCCGTATTTTAGTTCCGTAGAGGACTAGGACAATAGACCAAAATGGATTGATTGGACATTGCTCTTTGCTGTGTTAGGCCTTTGTTGAGTGTGTGGTGCTAAATATTTTTCCAACGCTGGAGTAAGCCAACATGAATCCTGTTCCTTCTCAGCCTCTTGCCCCACCCATGAAAGTTCGGCTTCTTTGGAAAATTTGACTGTTTAAGGCAGACGTTTATGGTGTGGCTAAATGACGTTTAGAAATAATTAAGCCTTGTGAGTCTGAGATGAAGATAGATTGGGCTCCCTGTTTCATTAGCCAGAATGGTTTGTTTCCTGCATCTTTCGGAAACATTGCACATTTTTAAATAGCGTAATTGTGCCACGGTTTAAAAAAATGGCTTTCCAGCTACTGTGCAGTTTTGAGTGAACGTGCTGTAAAAATTTGAACCGCACTGTAGTGTGTTGACTATAATGTTGCGTTCTGGTTTTAGAGATTTAATACTCATATAAAAACAGAACTGGCATAATAAATTCAAGTTCTTGAATTTTCATAAATGCTGCCTCAAAATAGGCTTCCCAAGATTCACATTATTTCTGACCCTTTTTAACTTTTTCTGTACCTGTTTTGTCTGTTGATTACTACTCATAATCTAAAACATATATTGTTACGGGAAGAAAGATTTAGTAGATCCAAACTTACAATTGCAGTACGTTCTCAAAAACAGATCTCTCATTGACCCTTTTATTTAACATCTCTGCTGTGTTATTCCTGGAAGACAACATGTTTAGACCCAGCCATAAATATTTAACTATTTCTTCTGAAACTACTGAATTTTGTTCTTGTCAAAAGTTGGCTGGCTTAGTCTTGCCATATTTTTAATAAGGTGGCTTTTTTCTGAAAGCTACTTACTTTTGACTAGGTTAGGTTTTTTGTTTGTTTTGTTTTTTTGCGGTACGCGGGCCTCTCGCTGTTGTGGCCTCCCCCGTTGCGGAGCACAGGCTCCAGACGCGCAGGCTCAGTGGCCATGGCTCACGGGCCCAGCCGCTCCGCGGCATGTGGGATCTTCCCGGACCGGGGCACGAACCCCTGTCCCCTGCATCGGCAGGCGGACTCCTAACCACTGCACCACCAGGGAAGCCCTAGGTTAGGTTTTTGGATTTGATTTTATTTGCTTTAAAAATATTTTGCTAGAGAATTGGAAAAAACTCAAATAGTTAAATGTGTTTATGTTACAAAGATTATAAAATCCCAAACTAGAGAATACCAGTATGATTCAATATTAAAAATAAGTCATGCCATAATCCTTGCTACTTAACTGGAAAACATTCTGTGCCAAACTTGTCAGTGTTTCCTCTCCTCTCCCTTAAGCTGATTAAAAAAATAATATTATAATTACTCTTATTTGACCAAAGAGAGCAGAATAATACGTAACATGTATTTTCTGTATAAATAGTGACTGTATTTCGTCAGAGTTGGCATGATCTTGACATGATTTTTCATGGAGCTGAAACAAAGCACTACAAGGAGATAGAGTTTGGTTTCCTATCCACCGGTTGGAATGTCTGTGTCACTTTCATCATCTCCTTGTTTACCTAGCCTCTGTTTTTGTTTCCTGGCCATAAGAGTAATACCTGTCTTTTTCAAATAAGTTTCCCTCCTTTAAAGCTTGTTCAGTGGTTGCCAGCCTGGGCCGTGAAGCTTGGGGTTAGGAAGACACAGAGTCACAGCAGGGGACTACATCATAGACTTTTGACTTTTCTGTGCACTGAGTAAACATAAGTGTGACTACTAAATGTTTTGAAGAGGGGGCTGTGCCTTCTCTAAAACAGTGCTTTCCAGAGTGAGAGGGTCCACCACAGGGGGCGTGCAAGTGGATCCAGTAGAGTTTAAGAATAAATATTACACCTTTTATTTATATCTTTTACTTAAAGATATAAAATTATATTAAGACTTGGTTTGTCCAATCTGGAAAGACACAGGTGCTTTTTTTTTTTCTTTTTTCTTGCGGTACGCGGGCCTCTCACTGTTGTGGCCTCTCCCATTGCGGAGCACAGGCTCCGGACGCGCAGGCTCAGCGGCCATGGCTCACGGGCCCAGCCGCTCCGCGGCATGTGGGATCTTCCCGGACCGGGGCATGAACCCGTGTCCCCTGCATCGGCAGGCGGACTCCCAGCCACTGCGCCACCAGGGAAGCCTGACACAGGTGCTTTTAATGACTGAGAATGTCAGCTGGTCTCAGGTCTTCTGAAAGGAGGCCGGACGTTCACATGGGAAAAGCTGACAGTCGCTTCTTCACCGGTTGGTTCCCTTTTGCATATTGTTATATGGTGAAGCTTACATGTGCCAGGTTAAGATGTGTATTATACCGTTTTCACTAAATTAACCCTCACCAAAATGCCAAGTGGCTTGACAAGATTCCTTCAAATAAGATGCAGATCAAAGACAATACTAACTAGGCAAACACAAGTAAGCCATGAGAAATGGCAGGGCTGCCACTTCTAATATAAACTCTCAGATTAAAAACAAAAAACAGGGACTTCCATGGTGGCGCAAAGGGGTTAAGAATCCGCCTGCCAATGCAGGGACACGGGTTCGAGCCCTGGTCGGGGAAGATCCCACATGCCACGGAGCAACTAAGCCCGTGCGCCACAACTACTGAGCCCACGCGCCTAGAGCCCGTGCTCCACAACAAGAGAAGCCACCGCAATGAGAAGCCCGTGCTCGCTGCAACTAGAGGAAGCCTGCACACAGCAACCAAGACCCAACACAACTCAATAAATAAATAAATAAACATTTATAAATAAAAATGCCAATCTTTAAAAAAAAACACAAACAAAAAACAGTGGATTTATAGATCGGAGAAGAGGGCAAAAAGTGCCAAATTTTAAAGAAGACTATTTGAAGTCCAATTTAATAACTGCTATTAACAGTAAATTGCTCCCCAAGTGTATATCGTTCTTTGAGATATTAGCCAATAATAGGATGAGGTCATCTCAATTAGCAAGATATTTCAAAGTACTTTCCAGCACACAAAGACAGTTTCGGATTTTTTTTTTCTTTTTCTTTTAATGTATAAAGTCAACCTTGAATTTGGCAGGAGTTCACTAAGCTTAATGATAAATATTTACGGGATTTTTACTGGTTTACTCATCGTCTTGAGTCAGTAAAAGTCCTCTTATCATTTGGGAAATTATATTCTTCCTGACAGTGGTATATTCTTTATAAATAAGTAAATAAGTATACAAATGTTTGAGGCCATGCCCAAAAACGTTTTACTTAAGGGGTACATAGTGAAAAACATTTGAAGGCCATATTTCTAAAAAAAACGGGATCTTTACATTTTCGTTTGTTTAAGTTGTTCCAGAAGAGTCGGGTTTGAACCTT